CTACACTTTATGAAGCCTTTTTCCCCACTTTTTTTCTCCCTTAAAAGATCAGCTTATTTTATCAGGTGTATCATCTCTTGGAAAAATGAAAGACAAGCACTACTTTTATCTCTTAAGTATCTACTCTTATGTACTGCAAGTGAAGACTCCGTAACTCTTGCCTTATTCTTATACGTTTTAAATAAATTTATAGGCTTTTGTTTCTGTACATCTTCAATTATCTTTGCCAATCTTCAGCTCATTGTAACGTTCCCCCACTCTGACAACTTAAAGACCAGAGTGCAGCTCTATATATCTTACCTATGGTTGAAGTTGATTAGACAATTACCGACTTATGACCTACTTATCTGATCAACCAAACAAGTATAAAAATTCTTATAATATTAATAAAATGAACGTGTTGCTAATATTCAGATGGAAAGCAAATTATTTTTGTTTGGATTTGGACCATAAAGTGAAAATAGCTAAATATCAATTCTCTAATTAGTCCAAAGCAAAAATCCTAAAGTGAACAATTTTATATACAAGTAACCTTGACTGCTGCAATGCAATTACCGCAAACCTATATATCCACAACTTAATTGATCGGGGGTTAATCTATGGTAGGACACGGTGTACTATTTCAAAGTACTGCAATGCAGTAACTTAAAGATGTACATTTTTTTTGAAGATTAGTGAATGGCGTACAGAAAAAGGGAGAGGAGAGATAGAATGGATGCACTGTGCTACCAAGAAAGAAAAAGGTTTCGGTATTCTTTCTCTGTATCCTTCATTCTCCTTTGAGCAGTGTCTTCATAATAATATACAACACTTACTATTTGAAAGCATCCAGTGCCCGTCTTTAATCCATCGCAGTTACCCATAAGCATTGGAGCCATGTTCGCGATTGGGGTAACCTGAGTAGTACGAGAAATGTATGAATAGAGACGGTTTGGTACCATTTTGTGTAATAGGGCAATTCGATACAACTTCGTATTGTGGAAGAAAGTCAGTGTTAAGGAAAGAGCGTGTTGGAGGATTCGCTCAGCGTGTCTTAGATCAAAAATTTTGATAAATTTATGCGAAACGTAGTCCTATTTCACGCAAAGTTTGATGCATTAGCCCTATGCAAGAAAGTTCATTTCTTTGTTTATTCGGCTTAACCTTCAAGAAAACAACCTGGTTTCTATTCTTATCCACAAAAAAGGCTGAGTAGAATGGAAGTCGTTCAGCGAGGTCGTCTAACATCACCGTGCCGCTTGAAACACCAGTGCTAGCAACCATACCTTGAAAATCAAATTTTCTATCAAACATTTTGTGCAAACTTATGCACCTCATTTGTAGAGGTTGAAATGGATAACTTCCGTAAAATGGCAAAAATAGACCTTGAATTTTCGTTCTCCTCATAGCGTTCCACATTAGTCTACCGTCAATAATTGAGGAGAATTGTCCTGTGGAGTTCAGTACTTTTCTTCCGGCAATGGCGAACACTTTCAAAGAGTCGTATAGTGCAATATATCCATAAATATTGCTCTAAATAATTCTTTCAAAGTCTTATATGTGCTTGCTTTCTATTCACTACGGATAATTCAATGAGAGAATTGACCACTTAGAGGTATAGCAAACTTACCAGGTCTATATCTTTTCCATCAAGTCCGATAGTGCCAAGCCTCTCCAAAAAAGGTGTTATCATACGATCGTCGAAGCCATTTGTGTCATCAATCTACATAGGAAGGTAAACTTTAATCTAACTCAAAGTGATTCAATTTTGATTTTAGATCTACTAGATTATGTATAGAGATCGACTGAGACAATTAATAAAGAAGTCAAGTTACATTGCGAAAAAAAGAGATGAAACTCTGCGTAGCAGTAATCGCCTTAGCTCGACTGAATGTTGAAGAAAATTTGATGCTCTTTGTTAACTGTATTAAAACCAACTCTTGTTTGTCAGTCGAAAAGGAAAATTAGTATATTTTTTGCAATATCCTTACTTACCAAAACGCAATTTGCATAGGTTTTTTTGACCTTGTCCATTATTGTAGTATCACTTCCAACAAACGGCGAAGCACCATTTGATCCTTCTTGCATATATGGGAAAATGAAGACAAATTCGCTCTCCGAAAATCCGTAGGCAGCAGTGGCATCACGAAAAGTGGAAGTCAGATCACG